TAATTATTATTGTTGAAAATATTTTATATTTTCTGTAATATTCGAACAATTTTTTATTTTAATATTTTAATTTTATTTTGGTTTTATTATATATATATATTTATTAATATATAATATATATAAATATAAATAAAAAAATAAAATAAATATTTAATTCAATTTCCAAATCCAACGGACTGCCGTTGTAAATACCGTTGTAACATTTCGACGGCGTTTCCAACGGATATTCCAACGGATTTCCATGGCAAATACCGTTGTAAATCCGTTAGAATATTTCTAACGGATATTCTAACGGTCCCGTCGAAAAGTAGCCACGGATATCCGTTGGAATATCCTTGAGATATTCCGACGAACAAATCCGTTGGAATTCTGTTGGAAATATACCACGGAAGAACCGTTGGAAATCCGTTGAAATATTCCAACGGATGACGGCGTTGGAATTCCGTTTGGAATTTGCCACGGAATTCCAACGGAACCGCGTTTCTAACGACTGTTTTCCTACGGATATATCCGTTGGAAATCCGTTGGAAAAGTCGAATTCCAACGGATTTTCGGCCATTTCCAACGGATTTGCCGGTTGAAATTTGGGTTTTTTTTTTGTAGTGGATGAATTCGTTCCGAATCTAATTTTAACTCTCGTTATCAATCAGAATCTAAGATCAATCAATCAATTGGCCAAGAAGATCAAAAGCAATAAACTCAATTCAATCAAACCGACGGGTATCAATAACGTAGTCTCGGAAAATAAAAACCAAACAAATCCCTACAAGGTTAAATTCCTAGCTACGTACAGTGAAACGACTACTCGCAACCCATAACAACAAATGAATTCAAATCAATAAGAAGAAACATAGAAACAGATAAAGAAGAAACTCGCAGCGATCTCTCGACGACGGTTCTTCAATCTCTGCTCCCGGGAAACTCCGTCTTGATTCTCTCTCGAGTTCTCTGGCTTCTGCTGTGATCTCTCGATGATTTCTGAAGCTCAAGACGTCTTCTATTTATTTGCTTGGCAGCTGGGCTTCTTCCTTTCTGAAAATGGAAGTTCAGATGCAAAATAGGAAGTTTTTCCGTAATGCAACACGGCCGTGTCGAATGCAACACGGTCCGTGTCAATTCTCTGTTAAAAATCTGCACTTTAGACATGGGCTGAACATGGGCGAGTTTGAATCAACACGGCCGTGTCGAATGACAACATGGTCCGTGTCAATTCACTGAGCAAAACTTCACTTTTTTCAGCACGGACACAACACGGCCGTGTCGAATGCAACACGGTCCGTGTCAATTCTTCAACTCGAACATGCTTGACAGATTTGCTCATAACTTTTTGCTCCAACGTCAGATTTGTGTGAATTAGTGTCTATGCGTAGATATTGAAGAGAGCTTTCCAATGAGATAGAGAACGCATAATTTGGACTTGTAGAGTGGAAGTTATTGGGCTTGCAAGATCTGACTTTTTAGGCTTCATGTTTTTCCCCAGAACAACTCCAAATGTTCCCGTTTCGTCCGTGATGTTCCGTAATCCATGTTTTCCACTCATTTTGCTCTCTTTTATGCATGAATACCTGTTTTGACACCAAAGAAATCAATCAAGCAATATCGAGACCAAATGTACTCTAGAATGCCTATAAATATGCAAAACCGAGTAAAACGCACTAGACATCCTATACCAAAATGTCACCAAAATACATGTTATCAGTTGACATCCCTAATATATAGGTCTTTTGATCCAGAAATTATATCTCCCTCGTGAAAAGTCGAAAACTTGACCTGCGTTTACATGACACCACTTGCCAACCACTGCCCATTTTTTTTTATGCATTGGGAAGCTCGGCCCCAGCTGTAGCCCTTTGGGACTCGCTGACCCCCGGTCACAGCGGTGACCTCACAGCGGCTCGCTAACACAGGAATCGCAGCATACACCCTTAGTGCACGCAGAACCGAATAAATCCAAATCCACACATACGAGTTTGCGATACATGTGTGAGAGGTGAATCAACTGTAACTGATAGGTGACATGTGAGCGGCTGGAGTCGAACCCCCAACCTCTCAGTATGAAAGACATGCTCTTTGCCAACTCACCTGGGGTTTTTTCCCAACCACTGCCCATGTTAGTCTAGTAATAACAGTTTGTGTTAGTCAGTGTCTAATATTTATGTAGGAACATATATTCCTTTTTTTAAAATGTTAAATATTTTCTTTTGCATTTCAAATCAGAAGATCCAATAAACTATTATTATAAAAAAAATTAATTTAATTATTTACGAAACTAATATATATATATATAAATCGATAATATTACAGATATGAGTAAAAATTCATATAAAATTAATGAAATTTTATATTAAATTATATGTGTAACCAATAAACCAAATTATTATTTTCCTTTTTAATCATCATATTATTAAAATATTCAGAACATATTTTTCTGGTACGTGCCTATATATAGATGAAAACTCCACGTAGAAGTTGGATTTTTTTTAAATGTTTTACATAGCTATTAATACCATGCATGGACATGCAAGCGATCACAACCAACAAGTAGCAACAATACGAAACTTCGTGGTGGCGGTCCAAACACAAACACAATTGACAGCAACATATATCGTATTACATAATTGTACCTTTTTGACTGGTAATATTATTAAAAAAAAATTCAGACGCACGTTTTCTTTTATCGGCAAGTAATATGGATAATATACATGTATTTAAGTCAAACCTAAAGAATTGACCACACCACCTCTTCCTACAGTATGATAATATACAGACAAAACTAAAACATTATTGTCAAAAATGAACTCCCAAAATATATAATTTAAATATTACTTTTTTGAGCTTTAGCATGAGAGCATGTATCAAAATTCAACAATTCAGTTTAAAAAAGGAGACGAGTAAAGATTTGTGACCTACTTGGTTGGGTGTTTACTGTTTACTTCACTTTAAAATATAAGGGTTCGGACCATAATTTTGAATATATATAGATATATATATGTGTGTGTGCGCGTGAACACTTTTTTTCTTAAAATGTAAACAATTAGAATATAAATAAATAACCACAAAACGAGAAATAATACAATCTTTTGAATAGTAAGCTCCGTAACTAATGGAAGCAGGAAACTAAGCCGAAGTTTCAAAATTCCTTGGAATTTTAAAAGACTCACCAACCAAATCAGTAAGCCGCCAATGTGAGAAAATCTTAACCATAAATTAAATCCAATCACAAAAAAAAGGAAGCTCCCCTCTATATAAACATGGCAACTCACATAGACACATCCACCAAAACCAAAGCGCACAACAAAAACATAAAGTTAACAACACCTTCCCTTCGCACTTAACCACAAAGATTTGATTTTTTTTTTTGGGTCATACATACCAAATTAATACACACATGGCTCAGAACGGTTTGAACGATCTGAAGCTGATCGGCGCATGGCCGAGCCCCTTCGTCTTGAGGGCTCGGATCGCTCTTAACCTCAAGGGTTTAGACTACGAGTTTCTCGAAGAAGATATTCTCAACTCGAAGAGCGATCTTTTGCTGAAATATAACCCTATCCACAAGAAGATTCCTGTCCTAATCCACTGTGGCAAACCCATCTGTGAATCCCTCAACATCGTTCAATACATCGATGAGGTGTGGTCGTCGGATCACGCCATCCTTCCCTCTAAGCCGTTCGATCGAGCCGTGGCTCGGTTTTGGGATATGTACATTGATGAACACGTAAGTCTCACAACACTAAGCAAACCCTTTCTCTTGTGTAGTTATGTTTTTTTCTTTCTTAACTTCATATTTAAAATGTTTTAGTTTCAAATGTAACAGAATAGTTTTCTCTTCCTTGCTGTCTCTGTTTCTATATATACGCATGACATGTACATACATGTATGTTTAATTTGCGCAGTGCTACACATCCATTAATGGCGTCGCCGGAGCAAAAGGCGACGGGGAGAGAATGGCGGCAGTAGAGAAACTACAGAATTGTTTAGCCCTTTTGGAAGAAGCGTTTCAGAAGTGCAGCAAAGGGAGAGAGTTTTTCGGAGGGGACGAAATCGGATTCATCGACATCGGGTTGGGGTCGATGCTGAGTCCACTTCGTGTCGTCGAGAAGTTTTCCGGCGTGAAATTCCTTAATCCGACCAAGACGCCGGGACTTTTCCGGTGGGCCGACAGGTTCTGTGCCCACGATGCCGTCAAACATGTCATTCCTGATGTCGAGAGGCTCGCTGCCTTCGCCATGCTCAAGTTCAATCGTCAAGATTAAGCCTTAGTATGAAAAAAAAAAAAGAATTTTGTTCTGCTGCCTGTTATCTCCATTTTTACATTTGTTTATATATGTCTCGAATGAGGTTAACGTTGTTTTTTTTTAAATTAATACGGTTTGAGATGTAATAATACCTCAACGTGTCTGTCATGTTTTGTAATGAATTGGATTCTTTTTTCATTTTTGTTATAGTGTTGTTAAAATTACGCCATAATAGAGCAGAAAAGGAATTTACTTATGCGCCTCTCCATCTATACTTTTCTTTATATGTCTCGATGCTCAAATTAGATGGATGTTTTTTTTTTCTTTCTATATGGTTTGAGATGTAACAAATCATTACACCTAAATGTGTCTGTAATGTTTGCAGAGAATTGGATTCTTTTTTTTTTTCAGTGATCTTCTTCAATGAATGAGCCCCAATTCTATAATTTCGATAAGAATGAGAAGATTTTATATGAAGACCATCTTTATATAGATTTCCTTCTATAAATGAATCACAGGTATATAAATTTCAACAAAAAAAAACAACGAGAGAAGATATCCTTCTGTAAATTAATCAAACTATTTTCTTCTATTAATGAATCACAAGCACACAACTTTCTATAACAAAAAAAAGAGAGAGAGAGAAGATTTTCTTCTATTAATGAATCAAAACTGTATATAAAGGTCACAAAAAACACTCCCTTTGCATCAATCAACAATCACCTAAAGGTTATGGTGGATATATACACTCATACATCTAAAATGGCTAGCGACGGCTCCAGTGGCGTGAAGCTGCTGGGCACTTGGTCGAGCCCATTCGTGGTGAGGGCACGAGTAGCTCTCCACCTAAAGTCCGTGACTTACGAGTACGTGGAAGAAGCAATGCTCAACTCAAAGAGCGAACTTCTCCTAAAATACAACCCCATCCACAAGAAAGTACCTGTCCTCATCCATGACGACAAACCCATCTGCGAATCCCTCAACATTGTTCAGTACATCGACGAGACCTGGCTCTCCGGTCCAGCTCTCTTCCCGACCGATCCCCACGACCGGGCCATGGCTCGATTCTGGGGTCAGTACATCGACACACAGGTAAAGACATTTGACTATATATGTGACTGGTTTTTGTGTGTGTATATACAGCTAGAATTACAATTGTATATATGTGTATATATGTATTACAGTGCTTTGCAGCGATTAACGGAGTTGCAGTAGCGAAAGATGAGGAGGGGAGGAAGGCTGCGGCGGCGAATCTGGACGAGTGTTTAGGGAAATTGGAGGAAGCGTTTGAGAAGTGCAGTAAAGGCAGAGACTTTTTCGGAGGTGACAGTATGGGATTCGTAGATATTGCTTGGGGTTCCATATTGGGACCTCTCTGGGTTATCGAGAGATTTTCTGGCGTCCAGTTTCTCCGGCAAGACAAAACTCCCGGTCTTGTCCGATGCTCGGAGAGTTTCTGCGCCCACGACGCCGTCAAGGCGTACATGCCCACCGTTGAAAAGCTCACTGAGTACGCCATAAAAAAATTCAATCTCTAGTCATTCTGTTAGTTACAATCTTGTTTAAGACAGTTCGATTAAATCCGGTTTGAGTTATGTCTTTTCTTGTTAATAATGTTTCGAGTGTAAAAACTGGAAAAATGTTGTTTTAGGTTGAAATTTATACTTCCAAACCCTAAACCAAAACAAGGTTTAACGAGTTCGGATTTAATGTGAATCCAACGTCTCGGCCGAGAAAGCTTCGACAATCACTATATAGTGATTGAGTATTACAAACACGATCGAACTCTCATTCACAAGTCGTCGAACCCTTTACAAGAGAGAACCCAAGAACTCAGAAAACTTGAAGAGAAATGAACTAAAGAAGAAGGTCTCATGTGCCTCTGTTTAAGTGCGGATCGACTACGTTCCTCAACTCTAAAACTACGCCGTTTTCAGTTGATCCGACGCATTTGGTAAAACGCTGCGTTCTGGTCCGGTTCACTTATGCAATTTTCAATCGGCTTCGGTTATCCGGTTTCCTAGTTAATCATACCAGAACCTTCTGCATGACATAGAGACTTCTCCCAGCAAACCTTCAACAAAATTTAATTGCTATAAATAACATTAAAATGCCAAGGATGTATTAAGTTTGGATCGATCAATCAAAGAATTGCTATGTTTGAGTTCATTTTTCTTTCTTCTAGCTTTTTTTTTTAAAATTTAAAGAATATTTTTTTAGTTTTTCAAGCAAAAGATGAGAGAAGATATTTGTTTTCTTTCAAATTCATCCATCCTTCCTTATTTTGTATCACATGTATTTGCGTTTCAATCTATCTTGGTGAAGTAATAATATATTAAGAGTTTTCGGTTATTGAACACATTTAATCTTTGGCATTGAATTATGCTCTTATAAGAGAAATTATTGATATTAGGTACTAAAAAAATATTATTAATTTTAAAGTTATACTTTTGCTTACAAGGGATATCACAATAATGTGATTATTGAAAAATCTACCAAAATACAGTTTTAAATAATAATAATAATTTGGTTTGTGTTAGAAATCCAATAATAATATATTTAGATTGATAAATATTTTATAATAAAATATTAGTATAATGTTAACCTATATAATCTTATCAGTATTTAAAATTTATAGATATTTATTTGATTAAACCAATTTAATGAAATACAACACTATGATTATGTCACATTTGTGTGTTATGTATATTTTATCACAATAATTAACAAGAAATCAATCCATTTTTAATTTAAATAAATCTGAGTTATATCCTCATTTAGTTGAGTCTTTTATTTAGTTCGATCTGTATTTTATTAAATTTGATTCTCATTATTCTAATCATCCCAATTTTCCTTATATTTATACTCCATGACCTGTTCTAAGAATTTTGATTATGCGATGGGAGAGTTATATTAGTTCTTCATACGTGAAAGATCTGTCATCGTCTCGTAAACTATATCCATGATAAAAGTTAGAGTTTCAAATAAAACACCACTTACCAAACTCAAACAAACTCTAATAAGACTCATCCCACAATGACATTTCATTCGAAGTATACATTTCAAGATTCAATTTGATAAAGTCTTTGAAAAATATTCAAAATAAAAATCCAATGACCTAAGAGATACTCACCCAACCAAACTAGCATTTCACATTACATCTTATTAAAACCTTAATATTTTCTATTCATCATATCTTGATGAGAGTTAAGCAAATGTTAGTAGAAAAACTATTTATCATACATTGATTAATCGCTAATAGTTATAGTGGAATTTATGTATTTATTTGATATCTTTAGATTGATAAATATTTTTGTTAATTTTATAATATTTTGTATAATTTAATATTTTTGGTTTAAAGATTTAACAAACCATCAATTTTCCATTTGGCACATCGCTTCTCCTAACCTTATAGTCGTCATCCACGTCATCGGCAACTACCATATACATGATCTATCAAATTTTAATTTTAGTTGAAAATAAAATATGTTTTCTTAACTTGATTACTTATAATCGAATGCGGTCTTATATATATACACACACATATACCATATTAATATATATAGACACGTGGATATATATTTTGATTAATTGACATGTGTATTTTAAATTTAAGAGTATTTAAACCAACAAAAAAATTTAAGATATAAATGCACATATATATATATATATATACAATTATACAGTAGCGGATCTACATGTAAGTGTATGGGGCACATGCCCCCATTCAATCAATTAAATTTTTTTTATTTTTTATACACAATCTGTAAAATTTTGAGTAAAATTATGAAATGCCCCTATATAAAATTAAGTTTTATCATACATAAAAACTGGATTGTCCCCCGTTAGAGAATTCTCTAGATCCGCCACTGCAATTATATATATATATGTACGTACATGCATATGTATATATATGTATGTATTGCCAACAAAAATATGTGCATGACAACATAGAAATATTATGAAATCAAGGTTTAAATTGCAGTTCGTTATAATATTCATTTGTATGCAAAGAACTAAATGATCGATAAGTTGATCATGATATTGTGAGATCGAATAATCATCTCTCATACGGCAAGAGAGGTACATAAAATTCGTTTGGTTATCAGATATATTGTTTTAAAAAAACAATTAAATTTTAAAATTTAAAACTAATTTAAAAAATATATAAAAAAGAAAAAAAAAACATAGAAAAGAGAAATCTTTTACTTTACCCAAAGACTGAGGGCCAAAGACGTCCAAACCAATTCCTCCACATTTTGTCACCTCCCAAACATAAGAAGGCAAACCTGTGAATAATTCCAGATAATCTTCGGCTTCTTCCTTTGTTTGCAGTCGAAGAAATTCAATAAGTTGGATAAAGGGTATCCAGATTTCTTCCTCGATATTGACGGTGATATCATATCTAAACTAAATTTCAAATTCGTGAACTTAAATAAATATATATACAGGTAACAGACACAACAACAACAATTTAACTTAATGTGATTTCTCGAACTTTGTGATTAATGTATATATAATTAAACTACTCATTCTCTTTCTTTTAAATGATATTTGACTCTATTATAAAAATCACAGAACAAAAATCTTTCATATTCTAAATTCTAAACAAAATACTTTTCTATATAGAAAGATAGAAGATTGATGATGGAAAAAAAGTTATTATCAATCTGAAATAAAAGTTGGATGATGTATTTCACCAGATCGAAGTAGGTACACTTGAAGATCTCTTAACTAACTTTGCAAAATCTCAAGAACACGAATGAAACCGCACTCCCAAGTAGTTGTAGTTCTAACTCAACTCATGCGAGTGTGCCATCTGACATTAGAGCTCGGTGGCCCCCACATAACCATGCGCACGTGGGGCCATGTATGACGTCACCCTCCCTTCTCATCATGCCACCATCAGCGGAAATCTAGTCAAGTAGTCAACTTTTCGCCACGTCATCACCGTCCCCACGTGTACACCTCCCGACCCTCCTCAGCTCCGCCACGATCTCCCTCGCGTTGGGGCGATCATCCTTGTCCGCCGCCACGCACCGGAAAGCCAGCTCCGCCAACGCCGGGACTCCGCCGCCGTCTCCGCCGGACATCGCCGCGGCGTCTAGGGCAAGAAGCGGGTCGACAACCTGGTTGAGAAGGCCCATCTGGATCTTGGACACGACCAGATCCGCCAACGCCATTTCCCGCTTCTCACGGCGTTGATCCACCGCCCTCATTCCGGTTATCAGCTCCATCAACACAACGCCGTAACTGTACACGTCACTCTTTTCCGTTAGCCGAAACGACCGGTGGTAGTCCGGATCCAAGTATCCCGGCGTCCCCTGCGGGCCCGTGCACACGTACTCCGACGACGATGCTGACGTAACCGTCGTCGTCACGGACAAGACCATGACCCTGGACAGACCAAAGTCTCCGACTTTGATTCTCATGTCCCTTTCCACGAAGATGTTCGACGATGTGATGTCCCTGTGGACTACCGGAGGAGTAACGGCGAAGTGAAGATACTCTAAAGCCAAAGCCGTTTGAAGAGCTATCTCGACGCGAACTTGCCACGTCAACGTCGATTTCCGGTATAAACTTTTCCGGCCGTGAAGATGGTCGGCGAGTGTGCCGTTGGGAACGTATTCGTAGATGAGGAGGAGACCTCTCGGGTCAGAGCAGTAACCATGGAGCTTGACGAGGTTCGGGTGATTGATGGAGGAGAGAATCAGGATCTCGTTGCAGAAAGATTTCATAGAGAAAGCCTTGCCGGCGGCGGCGGCGGAGGCGCCGTAGTGGTGGAGGTGCTTCACGGCGACGAGCTGGCCGTCGCGGAGGTGGCACAAGTAGACCGACCCGAATCCGCCATCTCCGATCTTGCGCTTCGGGTCGAACTTATTGGTGGCGGATTCAAGCTCTTCGTAGGTGAAGACCGGAGGAAGGAGACTGGCGGAGCGGTGGCGGCGGAGGAACAGAGCCGCCGGGTCTTCTTCGTTTACAGAGGACATTCTCGACTTCCGTGATCGGAAAATCGCTATGCCGACGGAGACAGCCATCAAAAGACATGTCAGCGCGAAGATCAGACATAACACGGCGACGTGATTGACTCGTTTGTCCCGGCCGACGACCCAGACGGGTGAAAATTCGGATCTTGATTGAAAACAGAGGAAGCCCTTGTTCGGATCGGATGAATTGTAGCCACAGACTCCGTCCTTGGCAACGCAGGATCTGCATTTGACGAAATACGGATCCTGAGATTCGTCCCATTCCACTTCGAAACCAAATCTGGAGAAAAAATCATCCAGAAACCCGAAAAGATCTCCCTGACATCCTTGCTCGGCCAACGACGACGAACCGCGAGTGCGTTCACAGCCATGGAGAATCCGGGCGGGATTCTTCAAGAGCTTGCAGTCCCAAGGGCAATGGCTACAGTTCGGTAGAATCAGAGGCGAGCACGGCCGGAGAAGCGAGAGACGAGAGCAGGACGAGTCAGAGACCCGGAACGGCGAACCGGAGAGGTCGATGAACTGGACGGGTACGGAGGAGAACCGGTGAGAAGAACAGTAGCTCCGGTTCGAGTGCAGACGCGGCGAAGACACAGGAGAGAGAAGGAGAGTGGTGGACTGAGGGTCGTAGCGAAGGAGAGAGAAGGAGAGGTTGTTGATGAGGACGACGGCGCGTGGAGTCGCGCAATGGATCTGGAAATTGGGATGGCCACAGCCCGGCGAAGAAGAGAAGGGGAAAGGCGGAGATGAATTAAAGGGTGGACAAAGCGATGGAGAAGAAGAAGAAGAACATGCATTAGAAGCTTCGGCTATGGCGAAAACAGAGCAAACTAGTAAAGTCACTAAAGAGAAGCTACGAGGTGGTTGAGACATGGGTGGAGTTGAACTATGAAGATATTTACGCCGTTGATGCGGTCATGTAAGAAGTAGTTAGCAGATCTGAATCTGATTGTGGTTTTTTTTTAACTTCTTTCTTCTTTTTTTTTCAAAACTCGGTGACCAACGTTGTTGGAAGAGGAAGAAGAAGGTCACGTGAAGGTGTGGGAACTGGGCAAGTGAGGACAAAATGCTGGAAAACAAGAGTTGTCTCGAGCTTTGTTCATTTTTTATTATATTTTTTTAAATTAAAAAATCTAACTTTTTTTTTTATCAATAATCTAATAGAGAAAATTCTATGCTCTTCGACAAATGCTTTTATTGCTTTTACCCTTTTCTTCCTTTGCTTTTGTGATTGCTCCTTTATTTTATATGGTCATTGATTACAAGTTGCAATGCTTTGTTTTTTTTTGTCTCCTTTGCTAAAATTCGAATTCAAAATTTGTAACTTGATGGGGAAAATAACTCAAATAGACTAAATGTGTTGCAACAATTTCAGCGATACATAAAAAAAAAGTAAATTTTTTTTTCAATTCTGTATCACTTTTGGGTTTAAAAAGTTCGAAATAATTTTTTTTCATATTTTTTACGATTTTATTACGACTGTTATATAATTAGCATACAACTAAAAAAAAAAGTATTTACGATCGTATAACAACTAAAGATCTTGTAAACAATTAAATGTATTTTTTTACCACCTTATTTAGAATCAATTATAATTGTATTTAGAATCAATTGCAATTTTATTTAGAATCAATTACGACGTTGTAATTATAATTACATGGTTTTATCAAGGATAATATGGTTTTTTCGAAAAAAATTTAATGGATGGGTTATATTTTTTGGGTGTATCCAAGAAATTACTGCGACAGGTTTGGTATATTTGAGTGATTTACTCAACTTGATGTTAGACATATATTAAAGCATATAAATTTGACGAAATTAAGAAATTCTGCAGATCATGGAACAATTTAAGATTGAAAGATATTAGGAAAAAGATTAATGATCAAATTTTTAAAAAAAAACACTGTTTTTTGGTTAGGTAAAAACTGAGCATGAGCTTATTCGGTTACAGCTTAGTTAAATAAAAATGTGTTGTCCACTAAAATCATATAAATTTATGAAATGCGTATAAGAGATGGGCCAGTCATATAGAATATAGTCAAAAAAGCAACATAAGATTTTAGAAAGAACGAAAAATAATTTAATCATTTATTCAAAGTGGATGCAAATGGTCGGCTTCAAATTAATTGTAGAAAGTAGGAAAATAAATATTTGTAGAAATAATCCAAATAACTCATAACTGTGAATATTTCTAAAATCTCGATATTTTTTTCGAATCATACCATTTAATATTTTTCGAACGGTATATTTTTTATAGAACTAAATTTTCCAAAATCGAATCAAATTTTATAAAATTTTCGAAAAATCGAAATTTTTTAAAGAAAATCTAAATTTGTTAATAAACACCAAAATCGAACCGTACCAAAACCTAAACCGAAACAAACCGAAACAAACCGAATAACGTACTATACTAATTTAGTACAAATTTTAAAATATTGAATAGATTGTTCTCAAATCAAATTCCGAAATGTTCCACCCTAGTGAAAATGGTAGGTAGACACTTGCACTTATAAATAAATTAATTTTAGCTTTTTGTTTTTGTTTTAGGAAAATCACCAAGAAAAATTTTGTACTTTTCATAAGTCAACAAAAAAATCTTGTACTTTTTTATTACAAAAAAAACTCAATATCTATACTTATTCGCCGAAATACACATGTACTCTTCAGATATCACAAAAAAACTATGTATTTTTTATAACCAAATAAACCCTATACTTATATTTATTCGCCGAAATATACCTATACTTTATAAATTCTAGCAAATAAGCCTCTAAACGCAAACGTAAAAAAAATGGGATAAAAAATATGTTTGAACCTAACCCAACCGATATATACTCGAACCAAATCGAATCGATTAAAATATTTTATCATATTGGATATGAATATTTTAAATCCGAAATAATCGAACCGAACTCAACCGATATATACCCGAACCGATTAAAATAATATACTAGATTGGATATGAATATTTCAAATTCGAGTGAATCCAATATCATTATATTAATTTTTCTAATTAAATTTAGAATATATTATATATTAATTGATGATATATAGGTAGATAAACGGTTATATTCGATTATGGTTAATTCGAGTTCGGTTTATTCTTTTTATAGTTATTTCAGATTTGAAATATTTATATCCAATCTGATATATTATTTTAATCGATTCGATTTGGTTCGAGTATATACCAGTTAGGTTAGGTTCGGACTGATTTTTTACCGCGGTTTTTTTGCGTTTGCGTTTAGGGGTTTATTTATTAGAATTTATAAAATACAGATATATTTTGACGAACAAATATAAGTATAGGGTCTGTTTGGTAATAAAAAAAGTACATAGTTTTTTTATCTGATATTTGAAGAGTATAAATATATTTCGGTAAATAAATATAAGAATATATTTTTTGTTTATAATAAAAAAAAAATACATGATTTTTTTGGGGAAATTCTTTTTTGTTGTTTATTTTCTTCCAATGTTGGATATTGGGCCATAAGTACTTCTCAAGATTCTATTACAATATTTATATTTGGACATGCTAAATAAAACTATTGAATAATACACCATAATCTTATATAATATGAATTTATAGCCTAGATTTCATATATTTAAAAAGCCAAGTTTTCTTTCTACTCAATTTCGTTTATCGTTGGAGACTAATGTAAACACGTCCTTATTGGTCAAGATCTCGTGCGCAGATTTCTGTACGTATCCACTCGCAAGCCATTGATTATACCAACGAGAAAACGTGAAAAATCATTGGTACCGTCAATAACCGGATGCCTCAGTTGTCAAATGTTGCTATCATGCGGAATTTACATAATGTTTTAATAGTCCCTTTTTTTGTTTTTCGCAATTGAAATCATTGGTTATAAATCAAAATCCCACGTAAGTCGTCAGACAATATAATCGAAACACGTCTCTTTTTGTCTCTCTTTTTTTATAACAAAAATTATCATGAAAATTAAGTAGCAATGATTACGAAAAGTTTGGTTCATTACATTCGTGTTTGCGGTAAAATGCTAGCGGATTCATGTTATAAGGCCTCTAATATTATTATCGGGCATATGCTTGAGCGCATATATATGGTGTTGGTCTATGTAATTAGCCAAACTTTAAGAAGCCCAGATGTATTATGTATATATTAAGTTAAATTATGAATTCCTAATTCGCATGCCCGTGTGAACTATTTTGAGAACCGGACCAGACAGACGGGTTCGATCGTTCTGAACCGGATGGGATGCCGGTTTTGGAGTTCAACTAAAACTTAGATCTCCATCAAACCAAACCGGTCAAAACCAGGTGTTCATGCAGAAATGGAAAACCGGGCTGTTTCCTTTTATGAATCATATAAAACAATGCAGACACTGAATTTTGTACTTCAAATTTAATCATTGATTTTGTTTTTGTCAAGTTGAGTCCATGATTGGTTAAAGATCATGCAGGAACTAGACGTCCATAGCCGAAAAAAAATATAATATGGTGAAGTTAATAGAAAGTATTTACCAAAAAAAATGTTAGTACAAAGTAGAAACAAACAAGAACGTGAAAAAAAAAAGATGATGGAGTTTAGAAAAAAATTTAACTATGAAACAAAACAAGAGCAGATTTCCCTCCGTTTCATTTTAGATATAGTAAGACTTAAACACACAAATTAAAAAAAAGGATAATTCCATTTAAAACCCTGTACTTTTCTCTCGTCTCAATTTAAACCCTGTACTTTTTTTTTATCCAAAAAAACATTGTACTTTTAAAAATTGGCAATTAAAACTCTATACTTTTAAAAATTAGCAAATAAAACCCTGAACGAAAAACAATATTATTTAATGCTGACATGACATCCTAGTCATCTGCCACATCATCAATCCCTAATATTTAATAATATTAATTAATATAAAATAAAAATAAAATAATAAAAATAAAAATAAAATTTTAAAAATTATATATATTCATAAAATTATACACATATATAAACATGTTTATAAAAATTTTAAAATTATATACATATATAAATATATTTATATATACATATATACATATATATACATATGATACATATATATCTATATATGTGTATA